GGATGAACAAGGAAGGAGAACTGAGGTACTATTCACTTTTTCTTCTACTAATTTTTTCAAGATCAATTTTAAGACAAAAATAGGAAAAAAAAAAAAACCTGCCAACTTAAAATGGTTATCAGCCTTTGTCTAGCTTATTACTTTAATCATTACCTAGATCAAAGAGTATAATTTTGGAAGCAACTTTGGCTTTAATTCTCAAAATTCTGTAATCATTTTCAATAAGGCTTAAATATAATTATTATGTATAGTTCTAAACCTAGGCATGCCTAAGTGGATAATATTTTTAAATCAACACATTAGAATGCCTTTAAATTTAGAATCTAAGTCCCATGAGAAAGGGATTTATAGTATTTTGTTCACTGGTGTGAACAGTGCTTAGCAAAATGCAGATATTCATATGAATCCCTGCATACTGCTCAAGACAGTACAAACACTTAGTATGTCCACACATACAAGAACCTGCTCAATGTCAAGTTCAACTTGGAGTCAGTTTGATATGATCACTGCTGCAGCCTTCACACTCAGGGTTTCACAGGTGAACAAAAGCAACCAGTAAACTAGGTGTGGTGGTACACACCTGTAATCCCAGCACTCAGAGACCAGCCTGGGATACACAGTATGATCCTGTCCAAATTAAATAAAATGTCAAAAACACAACCAAATTTTTCAACAAACACAGACTACACTTTTTTTATTATTTATTTATTTGTTTGTTTGTTTGTTTGTTTGTTTTTAGCTGAAGACCAAACCCCAGGCTTTGGGCTTGCTAGCTGAACTCCCAATTCCTTGAAATCTTTTCTAAAAAAATAAATAATTAGTGGGTGGTGGCACATGCTTGAATCCCACCACTTGGGAGACTGAGGCTAAAAAGTCTCAAGCTTACTGCCTACCAGGCTACACAGCAAGACCCTGTCTCAAAATACAAAAATACAATGAGCAGCTAGAGCAGCATGTGCAGGAGGTTGAAGTGGGAGGGCACCACTTGACTGCAGAAGTTCAAAAACAGCCTGTGCAACAGAACACAACCTGGCCTCAAATAAATAAACAAACAAATAAGAACAAAAGAATCTCACTTAAACAGCAAAGAACCTAATACAATTTCATTTCCAGGCTTACAAAGCAGGTCCAGCCCTTCCTTCATTAGCTGGCCTGACTCTGCTGTAACAAGCTACTAAGAGATACTTCTTAGGGCTCCTATAAATGACCTCTTGCTGCTATCACAATGCAAATATTTCAGCCTCCTCCATTAAAAGTCATCATAAGCCAGACTGGTAGCTCAGCACTCAGGAGACTGAAGCCGGAGAAGAGTCACAAGTTCCAGACCTCCCTGGTTTACATAGAGAGTTTTATTCAGGCTGACTGGACTATAACGTGAGATCTTATCAAATAACAAAGTCAACATGGATCTTTTCACTGTCACTGAGTCTGTTTTGTCTTTTTACACAGTCACTCTTTTAGCTTTTGTTTATCTCTACTACCTCATTGCAACTTGTAACTAGTTTTCTTCTCCCCTCCATTCTAGTCTCCTCTCTGGAACAATGAGAACCCAGAATGAAACAGTCCTTAACCTCTTTCTTTTTCTTTTCTTTAGCAACCCTTTGAAACATCTGTTAAAGTTGTAGGTGATTTCTTCATAAAAATGCACATTGTTACAAAACAACTTTTTTAAAAATTACCTATGGGTCTGGAGAGATGGCTCATGATTAAAAGCACTAGCTACTCTGGAGTTGGAGAGATGGCTCTGTGGTTAAGAGCAATGACTGCTCTTCCAAAGGATCCAGGTTCAATTCCAAGCACCCATATGGCAGCTCACACTGCCTGTAACTCTACAATCTAACACCTGCATACACACAGGCAAAACACAAATGCACATAAGAAATAAAAGAGAGAGAGAGAGCACCAGCTACTCTTCCAGAGGTTCAGTTCCTGCACCCACAATTCCCAACCCAACCATCTGACACCAATTCCAGGGAATCTGACACCTTCCTCTGGCCACCTTGGACACCAGGTACACACACATATACATGCAGGCAAAACACTCATACACATAAAATTTTTATTTAAGTTTGAAAAAAATTGTTTATAACAGAAAAAGATAAGACTCCACTTATACATTCACCAATAATGGCTACATAATGTTTATCTATTTAATAAAGTCCCATACAATTATAAGACTATTAAAGACATTTCCTGTTCTAGAATGCCTGTATTATTAAATAAAAAAAAAAAAAAAAAAAAAAAAAAAGGAACTTACAGGGCTAGGAAGATGGCTCTGTGGCTATAAGTGCTTGATCTGCAATGAGGACCTAAGTTCAAATCCCTATATAAAAAGCCAGGCACAGCTACAGGTATCTGTCACCTCACACTGGAGGATTCTGAGATCTTGCTGACCAGTCAACCTAGCAAAATGAAGAACTTCCAGGTCCATCAGAAACCTCATCTCAAAGCAATAAGGCTGTCCTCATTTCAGAACAATAAGGCTTAAAGCACTGGTTCTCAACCTACGGGTTGTAACCTCTTTGGGTGATGAACGATTCTTCATAGGAGTCACCTAACTCCATCAGAAAACATAGATATTTACATTACAATTCATAACAGTAGCAAAAATACAGTCATGAAGTGGAATGAAAATAATTGTATGGTTGGGGTCACAACACGAGGGTCACAGCACTAGGTTTAAACCACTGGCATAGAGGAAGGTTCTGACATCTTGCTCTGTCCTCTATGTGTCCATGTAACATACACACACATAACATACAGAACCTTTTTTTTATAAAAAAGCCAAAAAGATAAACTTTAATTTTAATAAGGATTTCATATAGATGAATAGACTGTCAAAAAGTAAACAAAACACTAGAGACAGGGAATGTGGAGAAAGCACCTTTTCACCTTCTATTTGCCTCAGATAAATGATAAAGGCTTTTTTGGTTTGGTTTGCTTTGGTTTGGTTTGGTTGAGATAGAGGCCCATGTAGCCCAGGCTACCCTGAAACTTTGTAGTCAGGGAAGATCTTGACTTACTATTTTATTTATTGATTTTTTTGGGGGGGAGTGTCCATATGCCACTACACCCATGTGGAGATCAGGGACAACTTTCCAGAGTCAGTTCTCTCCCTTCACTATGTGAGCCTGGAACTGGCACTGTGGCTGCCATCTTGCTCCCCACCCCCAAACACACAAAGTGTTAATTTAATATTGTTAATAACTTCAGTAAATACCCACTGAAGCTAAAAGATAATTCCCAAGCCCTATTCAGCAATTTTTTTTTTTAGGTTTTCTTTTTTGAACAGCTTCTCACCTAGAAGATAATAACCTTGAACTCCTGACTCTCCTGAGCCCAGTTCCCAAATACTGAGTTTGCATCACCATGACGGTTCAGTAGTATTTTGGTAGTCTTCTAAAATAATTTACTGAATAAACATATGATTGCATATATTCAATTATCCAAAAGGAAATTTAAGGAAAATACTTTTCATTATGACCTGTATATAACTGGAAGAGACTAAATAGCTCAATAAATCCTAGGGACTCTCATTTTCTCATTTTTAGTCAATGTCCTTTATTAAAACAAACTTCTTTAAGGGGGAAAAGTTGACACAAACCAACAAACAATACTCTCTTTCATAGTTCTAATTGCACAGCAGGTATTCCACAACTGCTCCTAGAGATACAGAAATAAAACTGCTATCCTACTTGACCAGTCAGTCAAAAATTGTCTTTATATGTATAATCTCAGAAATTAGAGCAAACTAAATTGAGCAAGAATCAGATGGAATTGGACTTTCATCATTAGGCAAGTTATTTAATCTCTCTGGACCTCAGTCTCATCTATGCAACAGAAATAAAGGAACAACTTTCACAAGAGCACTGTGATATCCTAAAAGGAATGACAAGAAACACAGAAAGTGAAATGTAGACCATCTCAGCCCTTAGACAGAAAAGCAAGGTAGGTGTCTTTGGCAGGTGTCTCTGCTTGAACCAAAACAGATGCATTCTGGACCCTGTAGTTTCTACGAACTGCACTTTCATACACAGAGCAATGCCTGCCTTCTCCTACAGAAAACGACGTTAAGACAGAATTCCTAACACAAAAGGGCTAGCAAATATCATTTCCTGATTTTACATTTCTTGAAAATCTCAGTTGTAGAAGTGTTGCCTGGGCATGCCCCAAAGAAGTCTTGGTTTGTGTTACAAAAAGGATTTTCTACCTCAGACTTCAGCACCAACAAGTAATGGGCTGCCACTGCTGAGAAAAGTTCAGGCCAAGAGACCTACAGCAAGCAGAACTTTAAATTGTCAGCATCACAGACGGAAACCTACACAAAAAGAAAACCAAATCCCACCTTGCTTTTTCACCGAGCACTAGAGGCGTTTATGATTAGTATTATCACAAATATAAATAGATGGCATTATCTCATCCTCACCATGTGCCAGGCTCTGCGATAAGCATGTATTTTTCAAGATTGCATGAGAGGAACTACACACGCGAGCTCATCTTCCAACCCTCTCTGATCTCAAGTCTGCAAAGCCCCCTTCACAGATTCAAATTCAATCTGTCTCCCAAGCCTGGGATACCCAACACCCGTCGCTCACCCACTCGAGCACAGGAAAACACATCCTTCTTCGAACACGACCCCAAGCCCTCTGCCTAACACTAGAACCAGCGCTTCTGGGATCCTCCGGGGCCCCTCCCCCTCCACGCACCAACTTCAACATGCCCTTAACTTGTTCCAAGAATTGTTTCCTTCCAAACTTCTGACTTACGCAAGGCGCGGGGTCCCCTCACTGCCCCCCCCCAAATGCAACACGCCCGCAGTTCGCTCCAAAGTTCAACATTCACCAACACATACTGCGCCAGAACAGAACCCGATCGCGACCCCAGGAGAACTCTCTTCACACCCGCTCCAGTAGGGCCCTGGATCCTCCACCCCGCTTACCAGGCCAGACCCGGGTGGCCGGGCCTGGCTGGGACCCCAAGGGGGCGAGGGGAGGCTCCACCTGGCTCGGCGCGCGGCTCCGGGTCCGGCCTGGGCCCCGCGGCGGCCGCGCCCCCGTCCCGGCGCGGGCGGCAGCGCTCCGGCTGTCCGCGACGGGCGCGCTCTACCAGCAGCTCCGCGGCGGCCTGACCGTCGTCGCGGGCCCGACGGCGGGCCCAGCCCGAGCCCCGGGGACGGCAGCGACGGCAGCCCGGGCCCGCCGCGCGTGAGGCGCAGCCTCGGCACCGCGAGTGGCCGCACGATAGGGCCGCCACTTCTCCCGGGGTCTCCAGACACCCGGCGCAGCCCGAGTCCTCCGGCCGTGGCGGTGGCGGCAACACTAACAGCGCGGGGCTAGAGACCGGCCCCGGAACCCCGGGCTTCACTGCCGCCATCTCGTCACAGCGGCCCCGCCGGCCCCGCCGACTCAGAGCCGCTGTGGCTGCCGCGGAAGAAGCCCGAGTGCTCGGACCTGCCGCCGCCATCTTGTTTCCCGTTTGAAGGGAGAGTCTGTTGCGCTGGGAGAAGGGTGAGGGCGGGGCCGTGCGCGGCGGGCAGTCTATCTGCATATTCATGAGGGGGCGAGGACCTAGTCGGCTGGGGACGTTCCTCCCGAACCTCTAGCATAGCAAGCAGAAGACTGCTCATTAATATTTAATGATATTCTTTATATATCGGGTCTTCGGCCCGCCCTCCAATCTTTGCAGCTCCTAGCACTGAGTTCAGAGAGGCTGCGAACTGAATTTATTTGGAAATTCTGAGCGACAAGGAGCTTTATAAAGTAATTAAGTCTATGTAAGCTTATCCAGAAACCTGCCTAAGTGCTTCATCGGGTAAGGGCCTGTGCTTTTTCTTCAGGGCCACAGTTTGTCGTGATTGAAATGAGGCCTACCATGACCAAAAGTCTTGAGTGAGTGTTGAAATAACAACCCTGGCCAGCCCTCGACTCATCCTCTCCACATCCCTTCATGAGATCCCCTCCCTCTACTGGAGCAAAAGCATACTTTATTTCACACGTATACACACACCCTGGCCTCTTCTCAGATTGTTTCTAAGCTAGGTCCTCAGTCCGCTGATCTCACTCAGAATGCTCTCTTGATCTCCTCACTCTTGCTTCCTTCTGAACCCCTACATTGTCTGCAGCTCAGAGCTCCTGAATCCACCGCTATGGAAACATGCCTGGACATCCCTCATGCACAAACCTAATGCCGCACTCCTTTCCTAATAGCCCTTATTTCCCACATTCTATTCACAGAACCATCTCCACAGGTTCTCAAACTGTCAGCCCGGGCATCTTTGACTTCAGCCTCATCTCCCATAGTCCTGCCATTTTCTGGCCAAAATGGCTCCTTTCCAACATGTTCCTGGGTCTTGCTGCATGATTTCTCATCATCTCTTACCTAACTGGCAACAGCAACTTCTACAAACTGACCTCCCACCATGCAGCCCCATTTCCTCTAAGCCTTGTTCCATGGCTCTTAGAGTTCATTCCTAAAGGCCAGCTCTGGCTATAATGTCCAGTTTAAACCAGGGAGAGGTGCTCAGACCAGGCTGGCCTCAAACGCACAGAAATCCACCTGCCTCTGCCTTCCCCTCCCTAGTGCTGGAACCAAAGCCTATACTGCCAGGGGTGCTCAGACTTTGTTGTCCCTTTCTGGATACAGAGGATTTAGAAAAAGAATGGCTTCCCATGGTGGAAAGATGGCTCTTCTACGACAGGTCTCCAACTAGTCTGATGTTGACTTTTTTTGCCCTAAGGTACATTTGGACCAAGATGTTATCTTTATAGAAAACCAGAGGCTTTGTAACGACATTAATTTTTCAATTAATACTTGATGTCAAGCTGACACATGTAGAAGGAGGCATCCAGAGGCCTGGGTTCCATGAGGTTATGCAGAACTGGCAATAACTAATTCAAAGCACAATGACTGGTTAAATTCAGAAGCCAGAAAAAACAAACAAACAAACAACAACAAGCCATGGAGTCCTAAGATGAGAGCCAGGTGGCTAACGAGGAAAGTCAGCAACTGAAGAAGGGTCAGTGAAATTAATACTGTGTCCAGACAGTCGGAAGCCCAGACAGTAAGCCTGCCAGACACAGGAATCTGGTCTTAGCTGGGCTGTCCTTTATGCGTTGCACTTCCTCCATCACTTGAGGTTCTTGGAACATTTTACCTGTTCCTGACAAGGTAGACTTGTACAGAGAGTGTGCTGGCTAGTTTTCTGTCAACCTGACACAAGCTAGAGTCATCTGAGAGGGGGGAACTTCAATTGGAAGAAGAAGAAAAACCCTCCATCAGATGGGCTGTAGGGAAGCCTGTAGAGCTCTTAATTAGTGATTGATGTGGGAGGGTCCAGCCCATTGTGGGTAGTCTGACCCTGACATGGTGGTCCCGGGTTCTATAAGAGGGCAGACAGAGCAAGCCAGGGGAATCAGGTCAATAAGCAGCTCCCCTCCACTGCCTCTATGTCAGCCCCTGCCTCTGGGTTTCTGCCTTGAGTTCCTGCCTTCGTTTCCTCAGTGGACTGTGACTGTGACTCAGCCAAATGAACCCATTCCTCCCCAAGCTGCTTTTGGTCACGGTGTTTCATTGCAGCAGTCCTAACCCTAACTAAGGCAGAAAACAAGCCTAGTTAGAAATAGCTCCTTTTTGTGAGCTGTTCCCTCAAGTAGGACTTCAGTCTGAAGGGCCTGTTCACTGCTGGCTGGGACACAAAGAGAACCAGGAAGTTTTCTTTTCCACAAGGAAAAGTAAGAGGTCTGAGTATCACTGGACCAGATGCCAGATCTGATCTTGGGCCTGGTCCTTTGCATTGACTCACTTCCTTCTTTCTGCCCTCTACTTCCTCATATTTAAAATAATGGTGCTAGAATTCAACAGTTCTCAACCTGGGAAGTTTGAGTACATGCGCGTGGGCATATGGCAGCTCAGGGGTTGCCTGGAACCTCCCTAAGCTAAAAGCTGAGGTGAAGGATGGCAGGATCTGTGAAGTTCATTCATATTGCTATAAGAATTCAGACACAAACTCCCAAGAAAGACTGTTAGAACGGATACATTCAAAAGTCTCTTCTTCTGTCTCCTGAATTCAGAAGACCAATTCTCAGTTTCCAGTCCCTTCTCGCCTCTGCACAGTTGTTGTTAATGTAATCTTATTAACACAGTGCTGGGGACAGAGGGCCAGGCAGATCTGTGGAGAGTATTCCTGATGAGAGCAAGAATGAGAAGAAGATGGTTCTAAAGTTTCAAGTGTAAACCGGTGATTGTGATCATGATTGATAAGCCACTAAAATCAGAGCACCTGCAAAGAAGCACCAGACAGAGAAGAGTAGGGTCTGACAGGCATCGTGTCCTGTCTCGTTTTTCTGCCTTTGTCTAAATCGCATTTCTGCTGGGAAATGCCTCATTCTATATGTATTTCTGACAAGCAGAGAGAAGCTGAAATAGGGAAGCAGCTAACTCCTCCCTGCCCAGAGAAAGCAGGATAGGACATGGGTCTTGGGCTCCACCCCCTTGCCACTCTTAAAACTCTGAATCTTCAGTGAGTGGCAGATTTGGGCTTGTTCATAGAAAAAAAAAAAAAAAAAAAAAAAAAAAAAAACAGTAGGTATCCTGGGGAGGGCTGGTGTCCTTACCATGGTGATAATAGCCACACTGGATTGTTCATGAGGTAAGGGCTGTGCTGTGGTAGCAGCAGCCTGGCCTCTTTGCCTCTCTTCATTGATTCCATCTTTCCTTAAACCATTCTCCGTTCCACTCATTTATCCTGCAATTCTCTGACCCAAACACTGGCTTGTTTTGAAGTGTTGTCAGAGTCTGGTTGTTAAGGGTGCTTTGTAGATTATGAAATGATACAAGGTTAGGCCAAGCGTATAGGACAGAACAAGTCCAAACAGTGTAGCCATCCTGGCAGAAATGAAGGTATTCTGAAGAGACACTTCAAACCATTGAAACAACAGGCCCCATGGAATTGGGATTTCCCTGGACATTTTATACTGGGAGGAGGAAAAGACTAGAAACTTGTGACAGGTCAAAGGAGAAACTGGTCTCTCAAAAAGAGACTATACAGTTCTGACTTGTCAGGCCACCTTGAGGGAGACACTCCAACTCAGACAATGGACCACATTTAGCCCACAGTCGCTTAGCTCTGCCGGTCCCTTGTACTATATTTAAACCTTGTTTAAATATTAGTGTTGTATTAGGACCCAGAAGCTGGATTTGGCCGGAGGAGGAGAACGTGGTCCATCAGACCTCCTTGTTCCTCTTCCCACTGTGGCCACATTGGGTAAATCTTTGTCCGTTTTTCACTGTTACTGTCTTTTTAATTGGTCTGTTAAGGGAAGATGATTGAACCTAAGTTGCTGGGGTGGAGGGTAGGATTCAGGGTCAGGGCCCTGCTCCCAGCAGTATAGTGACAATAGCAGGCCACACTCTTTCCTCATCCCTCAAGGGCTCCACAGACTTCCAGGAAAAAGTGGGGCCATGGACTCACGTTAGTGCATGTGCTAACTAGAACAAACAACATTGGAGTCTCATGTTCACTCTGCTATCCCTGCTATCATACAGACTGAGGACTGAATGGCCCACATAGTGTCTCAACTTGAATAGCTCCATGAAGTCGTAAACTATACAAAAAACTCTTCTCCTCTTCAGCCACACCCCTAAAAACCTTGGCTTCAGGCTGGTGACCCCAGCTTTGATCTGCTGGGCTGATGGACTGTGACATAATTAAGATAATTCTGCCTAGTTCCTGGTAGAAACAAGGAGAGCCAGGAGCCCCTTCACACCAGCCCAGGAAAACCTCACACATCTAGCAAGAGATAAACCCATCCCTTCGACCTCCGGGTGCCCTGCTCTTCTCTTTGGGTGGCTTCTTTGTCTCCCTTTATTTGTTCTCTCCTTTTGGTTTCGGAAGAAGTTCTCACAAAGAGATTCCCTCTACCCATCGCTTTGAAGCCATCTGAACCCCTCCAGACACTGTGTGAACCCGTGTAAGGCTTGGTTTCTGCCACTTTGGTAGGCAAACATATGCACTGATAATTGTGACAGAGCTAGAAGCAGTATAGTAAGCGGGCACGTGGTCTTCCAGAGAGCACACGTGGAGTTGGGGGAAGGGCTTTGGTGCTCTGCTTTGAGAAGTGAGCTCACCCAGTGAACAGAAGGGAAGACAGGCTGAGGAAACAGCTGAGACATGAAGGCAGCAAAGCTCAGCTTTTGTGGAGGATCTGACTAAGCAATTCTATGTGGGAAGAACGTAAGGCTGGGAGTGAGCCTAAAATTGGGGGAAATAAAGTAGGGGCAGCAAGCCTGAAGAGCTGAGCTCAACCCTCAAGTCCATGTGGTAGAGAGGGAGAACTGACTTCCTGCCATCTGACCCTACAGACAAGCCTGGCTCTCACAGGACTCCCTCCCTCCCTCCCTTCTCTCTTCTCTTTTTTCTCTCTCTCTACCGACCTCCCTCCCTTTCCCCCTCTCTACCTCTTCATACCCCCAAAAATGTACAAGCAAAAGTTTCTTCTAACGGAGCTGGAGAGATAGCTCAGTGGTTAAGAGCACTGGCTGTTTTCCAGAGGACCTGGGTTTGATTTCCTAGAACCC